AGTGCCCAGTTGCTTCCTCAATTCCTCAATGCATCACCGGATCCATAATCTGCCAGTGTTGTTGCAGTGGCTGCCCTAATTCCTCAGTGTAGTTGCTGCCTGATTCTTCGGGCGGGTTGTTGATGTCTTTTCTCTGTGCACATCCTAAACTCCTCTTTCTCTCTCTCTCTCTCTCCTTGTGCACCTCCTCACCTCAGCACCTACACTCCCTCATCCTAAACTCCCCCTAAAGCTACCGCTTGGGCACATAGCACAGTGAGTCACTGCCTCTCAGGCTTCCCTCACTGCCTAGCTATATAATCCCCTCCTCTCCTCCTCTTCCACTTCTCTTCCTTCATCCTTCATCATCATCACCACTTCCTCCCTGCGCTTCCTCTTCTTGAGCAAGCACACCAACAACTTCAGCTTCCATCAAGCCTTAAACAAGCACCAAAATTCTCTTGCTTGGCTTAAAACAAGCTCCTTTGACCTCACAGCAAATTCTCACATCAATCAGATCCCAAACCTCGTGCTCTTGCACAAACGCAACAGCAAACGACTTCCTTCCGCGACCGGTGAGTCTCTTCCTTCTTTCCCTTCTGTCATTTTAGTCCAAGCACCACTTCCCTCAGGACTATAAATACCCTCTCTTTCTCCTCCTCAAATCCTTTTCTTTCCTTCAACACTTCCCTCAATTTACCTACAACACACTTCAAGCATATTCTACTTTCACTCAGTTCAATCTTTCTTCACCAATCGTCTTTTACATTTCAGTCACTGACTCTTCCAGACACATCTGTCACCATGTCTGACAGAGGTCGCTCGCCTTCCCCGGCTGGGTCTGGAGGTCCCTCCGGCTCGGGACGACGCCCTTCTCAGTCTCCAGCTCGTTCTGCGTCTGGCTCTGCTGCTGGCGGCGCGGCCATCGGCTACCAGAAGCCACTTGGCTTTGATCCAGCCAAGCCCCAGGGGCAGGACGCCCAAGGCAATACCCGAATGGAATTGCCCCCTGACGCTTACGTGTCCGAGACCAAGAAGGACTTGTTCACGCTGCGAAATGGGCGCTTCAACACTGAGGGAAAAGCCGAGCAGATAGAGGTCAATCAGTACAGGATGACCAAGTTTGACTACAACAAGAAGATCTATCAGTACGACGTAAGTAGTTCTCATATGAGTTCACATTTGATTCATTCTAACACACACTACAGGTTTTTATCTCTCCCAACCCGGACAAGATCGGCCCCGTCATGAAGAAGATCTGGGCACATCCCACTACTAAAAATGCCCTAAAGGCCTACAAGTTCGAAACGTGGCTCTTCGATGGCAAGAAGCTGGCATGGAGTCCTGCTCTTGTGGAACGTGGCGAGGCTCGTTTCACCGTCGACCTTGACGAGGGCAAACGACCTGCTGGTGGGAAAGCTCGTGAAGGCGGCAAGTTTCTTGTCACAATTCGCAAAACAACCGAGATCCAAGTTTCTGCTCTCCAAGGCTATCTCGAACACAAGATTTCTTTCAACAACAGCGTTCAAGAGGCGCTGAACTTTATGGATCATCTTGTGCGTCAATGGCCTTCCAAGAACCTCCTGGCCATCAAGCGCAACTTCTACAAGACCGGTCAGTCTGGAGCTCCTCTTCAGGATGGAGCTATTGTCGAGGTCCACAAGGGCACATATGCTTCCATCCGCATGAGCGACAACATCAAGCAGAGAGGTGTCGGCCTCGGCTACAACATTGATGTTGCCAACACTTGTTTCTGGATCGGCAACCAGCCTATGGATAAAATGGCTTGCAACTTTCTGGCTACTCTCGATGGCAAATATGGAGGACATACCCCGGCTACTATTAATGAGTTGCTCAAGCCCGTCCGGGACCGCAAGACTGGTCGCTGGGCCTCTTCGGATGCTTTCAAGCAGCTCCGAAAGATGCGTCGCCTCAAATTCAAGATCAAGCACAAGGGCCGAAAAAACGAGGACAAACTCTACACCATCCAAGACTTCGCTTTCCACGAGAAATTCGGCGAAGCGGGTGCGTCAGCCAGGACCTGGACTTTCGAAAAGGACGGGAAAGACATCTCAGTCTATGAGTACTACAGAAAGGAGTACAATGTGACCCTGAGACTGTCTCATCTTCCACTAATTGATGCTGGAAAAGCTGGCATGATTCCTATGGAGCTTGCCTTCATTGAGGACATGCAGCGATATCCCTTCAAGTTGAACCCCGACCAGACAGCCGCCATGATCAGAATTGCCGTTACTCGCCCAGCTATTCGCAAGCGAGACATTCAGAACGGAGCGGCTGCCCTGCAGATCGGTCAAGATCCGTTCCTGAAGGAGTATGGCGTCAACTTTGAGCCGCAGTTTGCAAAGACCGAGGCACGCATTCTGGCTCCCCCAGTTGTCAGGTTTGGACAAGGTACAGCCGAACCCAGATTTGCTGGTCGTTGGGACTTGCGAGGCAAGAAGTTCTGGAAGCAGAACGTCGCGCCTCTCCAGAACTGGGGCTTCATCGCCCTGGAGCAACAAGTACCGCAACCCGTTCTTCAGGCTTTTGCCAACAACTTCAAGACCACCTACATCGGTCATGGAGGCAAGGTGACTGCCGACCCTATCCTTATGCCTACACCTGGTCCTCTCCGATTTGATGCTGCGGGTGCCATTGCGCACGCTCATGAGCAGATCACGAAGCAACGGGGTTACACCCAGCTCTTGTTTGTTGTCGTCTCCAAGAAGAACAGCGGGACTTACGAGCGCCTCAAGAAGTCTGCGGATTGCAGATTTGGTATTCTTACCCAAGTAGTCCTTGGCAATCATGTGCAGAAGAACAATGGTCAATACCATTCGAATGTATGCATGAAAGTGAACGCCAAGCTTGGTGGTGCGACTTCCTGCTCTCCTCCTTTGTGGAAGACACCTACATTCTTCCCCGACAGTCGCCCTACCATGATCGTAGGTGTTGATGTATCCCACGCAGCTCCTGGAGGCGTCACCCCATCCACCGCCTCCATGACTATGTCTGTGGACAAGGATGCCACTCGTTACGCCGCCGTTGCTGAGACCAATGGATACCGTGTCGAGATGCTGACTCCCTCCAACATTCGATTCATGTTCGGGGAGCTCATTCCTCGTTGGAGAGCCAACCACCAAGGACTGGTTCCTAAGCATCTCATATATTTCCGAGATGGTGTAGGAGAGGGACAATTTGCCTATGTGTTGGACCAGGAAGTCGAAGAGATCAAGAGGTATCTCGGCACGATTCTCCCTTCTGGACAGATGCCGAAAATCACTGTGATTGTGGCCACCAAGCGTCACCACATTCGTTTCTTTCCTCAGAGAGGAGACAAGAATGGTAATCCTTTGCCAGGTACTTTGGTTGAGCGAGAGGTCACACATCCTTTCATGTTTGACTTTTACCTCAATTCGCATGTTGCGATCCAAGGAACCGCTCGACCGGTTCATTACCACGTCATCTTGGATGAGATGAACATGCCGGTCAACGATCTGCAGAAGATGATTTATCAACAGTGCTACTCGTACGCACGTTCGACCACTCCTGTGTCACTTCACCCGGCAGTCTACTATGCGCATCTCGCTAGTAACCGAGCTCGCGCCCATGAGAACGTCAACTCTAGTGATGGTTTCCGAATCGGTCCCAAGGGCCACGAGATTGCTGCGGAGAAGCAGGCGCATGGTGTCTCCACGGGTCTTCCTGACAGGACCGTTGAAGCACCTCCCTTGATCCGCCTTGGTGGCGCACTTAGCCAGAAGCCTCTGGATGGTGAGCAGCGACAGAGAGACTTTTTCCGCGGCACTATGTGGTACATCTGATCTATGATGAAGGATACCATGGATAAGAACGTGGATGGTGATGGAATGACGGAGATGGTGGGGTGATGAAAATGGAGAGTTGATCGCTAGGGCGGAGGGAAGGGCATGGACAATGCGAGCGATCTTGATTTCTGGTGCATAAGCTAGCGGACGCAGCTTTGAGGAAGCACAGGATCATATTAAAACTAAAAGGGGCGACCGGTTTGGCGGGAAGTGGCGGTGGAGGTTGATTTTACTTGTTCTTAAAATAGCTCTTGATCAATTCTATTCAAGCGATCTGGCAACTGATGTGTCTGAAAATGTGACTTATGTTTAATGCCAGTTTGAAATGTAGCTTTAATGTTATACGAAGATCATGCCAGTCTCGTGCAAAGCTACTGTGAGATTGATAAGGAAGTTTGGTTCCACCAGAGCCATGAAGCTCTTGATCAATGGTTTTTGGTTATATGCTGAAGCTGGATGTCTCCTTACTTACTTCCGCATATAACAGTGTTACGATGTCGTCTGCCTGAGTATCATGAACAATATTCATGGACGAAGACGACGGTTCCTTCAGACCGAGTAGTAATTATGCTTGAATGGTCCAAAACGTCGATATTAATATATTTAAGCACAAAATATAACAACGACCATCGAGATCTTGTATTAGATGCTGTCACCTCCGTGCGGATTGAACAAGACCAATATTAGCTCTTACAGCATATTATTATAGGGTATCTTTGGTTGAAACAGAGTTATCTTGAGTTGACGCTAACTCACTGCTTAATTCAGACATCGGAAAAGAGCATGTTGATCCCTTACAGGTGAAACATGCCCATTCCTAACGTGGACGATCACCCCGATCAGCCCAACATATTTTCTGTTCTGTGAAGCTCTCGTTCTGGATGTCTCAGAGCTTAAGTCAAGCCTGAAAGCGGCAAACCAGATCATCGGAAGCCTAAAACGGCGCGTTGAAAACTGCAAAAATTTGCCCGAGATGGATGGTTTCGGAGGCTTGTCTCAGATGTTCGTCACTGATCTTCTGTTCCCGAATAGCCAAGAGAATCATGACCACAGCAAGATCAAAGGCCTAGGCCTGGCTCAGGGATAAATACCTCTCTTTTCCATCTCTTTCTGACTTCGAATCGTCTTACTCAACCAGTCACTCACTTACTCCTTGTGTGTTCTTAGTCATTCTTTACTTTTGTTTGTTGCAACATGGTTCGACCACTCTTCTTTGCTAGCGTCTTTGCTGCTGGCGTTTTCGCACAGTCAACCGCTGATCCTGCTCTGACAAGAGACGGAGCATTCCAACATCTTGGATGTGTTGCTATCAGACCCGGGACCTTTCCTCGTCAGTTCGATCTGGGTCAAGCTGGGTGTACTTCGTCATGTTCGTCAAATGGTAACATCATTGGGTTCCATGGAAACAGCTGTGTCTGTGACCGTCTTGACCTTTCACCAGGGCCTATCAGCTACCGCGTTGTAAAGGTTGATAACGCTCTCTGCAACCAATGGTGTGAACCAGCCGATAGATCCAAGGCAACCTGCGGAGGAGCCACGATCCAGGGATGGCCCATTTACGACCTATACAAGAGAAACAATGCTCAGATCGTCTATGAGACCTTCCCTGGTGCCACTCCTACTCCTGCACCTACTCAGCCCATCCAAACTGGCATGCCCATTCCCAACCCCAGCCCAAACCCCAAGCCAGGCGACGTCTGGCACGAATGTCCACCCAATGTTGTCAACTGCCCTTATCGCAACAAGTGCCCCAATGGCAGATGTCAACTCAAGCCTATCGCTCAGCCGTGCCGTGGATGTTCTTACAACGGTACTGGTAACTGGACTGCTCCAACTTGCCCTCCTGGAGGCTGCAATCAAGGTCCCAAGCCTGTCCCCGTTCCCGTTCCCGGTGGGAATGGAGGAAGTGGAAGCAGCGGCGGCAACGGAGGAAACGGAGGCACTGGAGGCACTGCTGGAAACGGAGGCAATAGTGGAAATGGTGGTAACGGCGGTGGCTCTAGCGGATCCAACGGCGGCGACGGACATCACGGAGATCAACCTCCCGTCATCGTCAACTCGGCCGTCAAGGCTCAGGGTGGAAGCTTCATCCTGGCTCTTGTTGTGCTTTCCTTTGCCTTCACTCTTTTGTAGGCTTTGGAATGGAGGATATTATAATTCTAGGAGAGTTAGAGGCGGCTTTTTGTTCTTGTAATACACACACTTCGTATAGAAAAAGGGGTAATAGGGGTTAGATGCAGCTTTGGCTTAATATAATATCACATCAGCAAGACAACGGGAGCAATACTGCAAATGGGGAATCATCGAAAATCTCTTTCTTCGTTTTACTTCTATTTTGGTGTCGTGGTACAGTAGGCGTCCTGTAGTTGACTTACAGGACTGTAAATTTTCTCGAAATGACGAGCATGTCTTTGAATGTCGGTAAGTCCACTTAAGCAATGATCTTCTCCTTGCACTCGATACTACACTCGGTCAGTAAAAATATTGCAATTAGAGGACTTGCAGAACTCACCCGTGGTCGGCCTTGAGCTGGTTCATCAATGTCCTGGCAAGGCTAGGGTACACAGGGGCGACAACACCCTTATCTGTGATAGTACCGTCGAGAACCATCTTGGTAGCTATATAATTGGTCAGTATGTGCCACGCTGATTGCTAAATTGATAAAGGGGGAACGTACCAACACCACAAGGAACACCGACTAGCTTGGACATGGCAGAGTAACCACCGGAACCCTCAGGGGCACCGTACTCGATAAGGGTGGAGGTCCAGGTGTTCTGGCTGCCGTCCTTGTTGACGACCTCGAAAGTGTGTTGGAGGAACTGACTTCAAGTTAGAGTAAATCCCCAGGCTTAAGTCAAGCTCCCAACTGGTACTCACCACAAGGTCACGCTCGCCCTCCTCATAAGCCATCTTCTGCTCAAGAGTGGCGCACAGGGTATCGAGGGCAGTTCCGCGAGGGGTGGTCTTGGCATCAGAGAAGACACCAACTATAATAGTGAATCAGCATGCGCTCGGAAATGACTGCCAGCACTTTAGACTTACCCCACTTGAGTCCAGCCAGCACTTGGCTCTTAACAGACTCGTCGCTGAGAGAGGTCTTGGAGAGGATGGTCTTGGTCAGATCCTCCTCACTTGATGAGCTAGCACCAATGAACTTCTGGAGGGCCTCCTTCCAAGGAATAGGCTGCTTGAAGAAGTCTTGCTCATCGACACTGAGGAAGCCAATGTCGACAAGAGCCTTGACGAATTGGGGGAAACCATTGTAGCGGATGGTTCCTCGGACGACGGTCTCGGCATCGGGAATGCGGTAGCTATGGAGGTCAGTCACTTCCATTCGAGGTAGCTCTCTCTAACCTACCGCTGGCGGTAACCAGTGCTGTCACGGTTTCCATAGGCAACGAAGTTATAACCCAAGTAGCCGGTGTGGTAAGGCTTAGCAGTGCCCATGAGGTCGACACCAGTGATGTCGACCAACTTGTTGTCCTCGTAGTACTTGGCGTTGTTCTTGAGGGCCAGAAGAACACCTCGACTGCTCCAGCTGAACTTGTAGCCTAATCGTAGTTAGTGACGGCGGCGTGAGTCATGATCGGGATTTGGGGTACCTAGAGGGTTGTTGGAGTCTGCAAGTTGATTAGCTTTGATCATTGACCATTGAGTTGGGAAGCATACTCTCAGGGGCGGGGAGGCCACCGCAGAAGCTCTTGAAGGACTTGATCTTGCCACCCTCCTGCTGGATGCGGTCGATGAAGTCGACAGCGTAAAGGTGGTCGACACTTATATGTGTTAGTGAACGGTTAGAGTCGTGGATGGTCGAAAAGCATACCCAGGGTCAACCTAAGAGGGTTAGTAACCTAGAATTGAAAGACGGGATGCAATTACTTACACCAATCTCGTTCAGGACTGTGATACCAGCAGCCTTGGCCTCCTCGTGAAGCTCCTCCATAGCAGGAGAGACGTAAGAGGTAGTGACGACATTCTTCTTAGCCTTGATAGCGGCCTTGATGACGGCAACGTGGTATGTGTAAGGAATCAGAGAGATGGTGATGTCGTGCTTGGCGACAGCTTCCTCCAGAGCAGCGGAATCGTTGACGTCGAGACTAATTGCGTTCGTGTTGCCAAAAGTTCCAGCGAGGTTCTTGGCTGAGGCGAGAGTACGGCAAGCAACAGTAACGTGAACACCGGCCTTGGCAAGGACTTCGACGGCAGGGGTGGCAACGAAGCCGGAACCGAGGAGAAGGGCGGATTGAGGCATTGTTGACGATGAATTGATTTGTGGTGTAATAGAGAGATTCTCGTTGGAAGCAAAAGAATTTCAGGAGCTCTTACTCAGTTCAACGAAAATGTTCTGCCCCGCATTAGGTAACGAGGGGCACCTCCCGGCTTTCGGAGGTCGATGAGCTGTAGGTATTTTCCACCCGATACCGGGGCAATTGACGCAGAGGTAACCCGTAGCAAAGCGTTGGACTGGCGCTAAGAATGTGTTTAGAGCCTGGGGCAGGCCTGTAACGTCTTTGCTTTGTGACGGAATCGCGGGTAAAAGTGGGCACTTTGACGATGTAAAGTAAATGAGTTTTCAAAATGGAATGTGTTCCCGAGATAAAGAGACCGATAAATTTTAACTCATAGGTACCGTTTGTATATCAATCCAGAACACTCATTCATGTAATTAATACAAGGTAAAAGGAATCACGCTACGCACGTCAACTTCCAAGACACGAGTCAGTCTGCGGCAGATAACAACAAGACAGGACCATAACCCCTATAATACGAGTCACAAGGCTCAATTGGTCGATTGTGGGCCTGCAATCTCTAGTCAGCCGTCCGGGGAGTTGAAAATAAGACTGGGAAATGGCAGAAAATTCAAGATTCGATCCTGAGTAACAAAATTATTTCGATAGATGTAGAATGGGCTGGGATAATTTGAGACGAACTTCGTAGGCTCTTTGACTGGTAGAAGCTTAATTTCGCACCCTGACCTTAAAGTCTTAAAGTCTTCTGACACCCCGAGGCAAGACTATCAGCATATTCAATATCCCTTTATGAAAGTAGGCAGCAGGGTTATAAGCAAGGTCTTCCAAATTGCAGGCATGAGCAACTGATCAAAGAGTTCGATTGGATAGATTGTGCACTGATCTCTTTTGAATGAGGGGTTTGAAAACGAACTCGTTTTTATAACAAAGAACGCTGTAGTGACCTTGTACATCGACTTGATACATTGGAAATCACCAGCCACACATTGGATGTGAAATTTATACAGACAAGTCTTTTGAAGTTAGAAGCGTCAGTCAAACGGTTGATGGAACTATAATCTAACCCGTTGGCGCATGTTAAATAAAATGATTCGTTGTCCCCTGGTGATATAAGGTAGCGGTATGTTTATAACTCGTAAGTGTCACAGTACTTTAGGAGATGAAGACAGCTAAAACTCGAACCGAATCTTAGTCCGGCCCAAAAGTAAACAGCTTTGTCAGGCATGGAGAACATAGCAAGATGATGTATATCATTCAAAGCTAGGGCTATGCAGCCGAGTCCCGACCCCCAATTGTCACAAGAGAGAAGACCACCGACGCACTCATCATCTAAAAAGCTAGTGCCATCGGTGTTATCTCTGTCTCAGACCAATGACAGAGAGAAGTAATTCTTTCCTTCTCCCTGTTCCGAGGCTGCTGTGCCTGTTTGTATAATTTCAGTTTTGCCAAGAGTTAGGCTCTCAAGCTACATAGTATGCAGCGGCACCAACATGGATCTAATCAGAACCCACGCCCTGAGGTGAGATTAATGGCTATTGGTAGTTGACAGGAGCCATCCTTGCTTTGTGATACCGCCTCCCTTGTTGTAATTCGGTGAACAGACCTCAAGTTACACAAGGCGTTATGCAAGGCTCAGGCCATTTGATTTCAACAAAGGTAGGGAGAATTACAATGTCACCTAAATACTTGTCACATACTAGCACAGGGAACATAAGCTAACCAACAAAGGATATTATGGCTAACCGAGGACATGTAGAAAACTCGTCATGGGAATCATCGTTGCGATGCTTTAGGCAAAATAGCACTAAGAATAAAACAAACTATAAAAAGAGAAGTTTCAGCATTCGGTCAGCCTTGAGAGCATTGTATTAATCTAAATCAAGGAAATGGTCGCTGTTGGCCATAGGTTGAGGGGTTGGGTCTCATAATGGGCGAGGCTTTGCCTGCTTGACCCATCCTTGACCCAACTTTGACACCTGTAAACGCCGAACTTACATTACGGCATCTCACCGATACGCTACTGCGTAGCAGAATATCCGCAAGGCGTCAATGAAGATATGATACTGACCGGTGAGAGAATGACGCTAATACTCGGTGGATCCGGCATTTCCATTCAGTCTCCCCGAATCCGAATGACGACTTAAACCGTCCATCGCTTAGAGCTTCAATGGCCCGACGCCAAGGTTCTCCGGGGGTTTGTGTTAAGATGGCCGGATGTGGACACTTCTTTGGGGCCCAAAATGATGTCCTCTATTGTGTTTCAGTTGAAAACGGAAAGGGATGGGGTGAGCTGAAACTTGGTCTCAACTTAAACTCCCGTCGACCCGGTTAATAAGGACGGATGCGGGATGTGAATATATAAAAGGTTGATGATATGATTGTGAGGTCACATATTGTGAGCTTGAGGTTGGCGATCTCTGGAGAAGGGTTCCTCTGGAATCATGAATTCTGAAATTCTGAAAGATAAACTCATACCTATTGCCAAAGGAACACTCAAGTTAAGTAGGATGGTTTGCTGAAGATTTCTGCAGGCCTCCAGGAGGTTTGCAGGTGATTCAGTTCTATACTGTTGGTTGTGATTTTGTTTCTCAGTGGGTGTGAATGATCCTGTTCTGCCTAAAGCACCCCCCTATTTTTACAGATGTATGTGGATTCATGGCACGGAAGCTTGGTCCAACACCATCATCTTGTATGTGAAGCCTTGACCTTTCCTCTCTCATCAGTTTTGGTCGCCGTGCAGAATTTAACATTGGCTGTTCACCAATGAATTCCCATTGATTGATTCCCTTGAAGCAGCCTCGCCGTAGCGGTGAGTCTGAGAGGGCGAACCCTTTCCAACCGATCCGATCAGCCAAGAAAGGCGTCACTCACTCGAGGCACTCTCTTTCCCCTTTGGCTCTGAAATGCCTTGCTTACTCAAGTCAGCCGTAAAACTCAAATTTCAGTCATTATCTGTTCCCTCCGCCATCTTTTCTCTTGTCTCACTTGTTTTCTTCTTCCATTCTTTGTCGACTCCATCCCTCGTCATCTTCATCTCCCGTACCTTTACCTCCGAGACACGCGAATCTCCCTTGATCATCCAAGACGATACCACTATGTTTGAGTCTACTTAGGTGCACATTAGTCTATTAGACTACTGCAGCCAGTTTACCCATCTTCAGCAGCACCATGTTTTCCCCCTTGCCGATATGTGCACGCGAGTGCCAACCGACTCGCCTCGCCCCGTCCCGCCCCTATTAACGAGATGGAGAATATGATGCCGGGATGTAGAGGAAATCCCGTCATCCCCTTACCGTTGTATAAAATGGATGGACTTTTCCCTGCATCTTGTTGCTGTCTCTACTTAAACAAGATTCAACAACGATCACAGGCGAGCCGTCAGCACGCCAGTTTCCCGAGCTTTACGACACAGTATCTTTCGATTCTTTGACTTAAGCATGAAGCTGTGAATGCGTCTCATGATGGAAGATACCGTACTATCAGAGTAAGTTCTTGCTCCTATACTCTCTATTGACGAATCTTTAGTCCTTCACAGGCTATGATGTTGGAATTAAGTTCCTCCACTGATCAAAAATTTGTATAGATGCATTAGCTGCGACGAACACTACTCGGTCCGATCGCAACGTGATTTTATCTGGGCCCAAGAGAGACAACCTTCGGTCCAGTTACATGCCTTTCTCGAACAACCATCCAGGGACGACCCTTTTTCAACATGGTCGATCACGCCGATTGATCCTTCCTCCAACCTTACTTTTCGGCACATCGAAGCACTGTGGCTTCGTCGTATCACTTCATGCGTTGCATATATTCGTCGCCGTGTCCTCATTCTCTTATTTCAAACATACGTTCTTGTTGGACCTGCAGCCCAGATTCATCAATGTCAGCCACCGCAAGCTCACGCCGTGGACGCTCAGCTTGATACGCGCGGCATAGGAGCGCAGTTCGAAGAGCCCTGGACTCATAGATCGTCACTGCAATAGCTGTCATCACATCAACATGATAAACGGCATCCTCTTGATGGCAGCAGGCCATTTTCAGCGATCTACAAAAGTTATCCAAAGCATTGGTCATACATTTGTACGATGGATGGTATTTTGGCGTTCATACCAGGAACGCTTGTCTCAAATTGTTCCAATAGTCCAGCAAGGGCCCTTTCTTTCGTCATCTCTCTTGATTTTACTTCATTCAATCTTTTCCTACAATTCCCTTGATACTGTACTTGTCTTTCAGAGGCTATACTGTCATACCAATCCTTGAATAATTTTATTATATTTGACAAGATAGTCTCTATCACGCGAATGCCGGTACTCTATTGAGATGTCTCGACCATGTTCCCCTTGTCACCCACTCGCTGTTGGCAAGCGAAAAGTGTCCGATTCACTTATGAATAAGCAAGACCCGATTCTCCATGTATTCTGCATTTGAATTGAAGTTACGTACATATGCGAAAGTAAATATTTATCGTATAATATGTTTACAATCTAACCCTGAGCTCATGCTTGAACCTTATGATAATAAACTCAGAGCTACTAACGCCGAAACAGACCCTCCCCCAACCCCTGGTCAACCCCCAATCCCATGCTATCCCCAGTCACATCACGAATTGCATGGTTCGTCATCCTGGTGTTGAACTTACCCCAAACTTCTCCACAGTTTCTCCTCATCTACCGACAATCCCCCAGATTGTGGATTTAATGCTATTCTCAGAGGCATATTTCATTGGAGGAATCTTGAATTTAGTCCATCCATCAATCGGAACCGTCATGATTGGAAAGGAACTGACTCAAACCTGGAAACGTTAGAAACATTCGCTGAACTAAAAGCATCGGGAGTCTGATTAACTGCCGAAAAAACGGAAATTGAGTGCGTGGCTGGTCTTATTCCCACGCCGTCATATTGGTGATTATCACCATATCACGTTGCATGGCAGGAATATCGGCTTAGAACAAGATCGACAACTATTACCATGTCTGATACCCCCGTCAAGATCGCTACGCATACATATACTAGGTCTCACCCAGTACGTGAGCTAATCGATGCTCTCTTCTTGAACCGATCTTCAATGTGAATTGAAGGTGTTTCGCCCCATTGATCTACTGCAGGGCGCCCCATAAAAGCAACGGCTCAAATCTTTATCGGCCGACAAGTTCGGGCTATAAAAGCCGATATCGCCTCCCCCCCCTTCTGCAGTTCGTTTAAGTCAAACACTCCCCGTGATCAAGATGGCCGATGTCAACGTCACCAAGAATGAGCTTGAACAGGCTCAGAGTCAAGAGATGGGACAGCCAGACGATAGAATCAGCAGAATTGACAGTGTCCAAGTTGGTAATGTCGACAAACCACAAGGGGACGGGATCTATGCCGAAGCTCTCGCACAATATCCAACCGACGATTCAATCGACCCGATATTGGAGAAGAAAGTCAGAAGGAAACTAGACCGACTGATTATCCCTGTTCTGGGGGTTTGCTACTTTTTCTACTATGTTGACAAAACAACACTGTATGTTTAACTTACACAGAACTCGAAGGACTGAGATACCTAACTAGCCATGCCTAGTTCCTATGCTGCCATCTTTGGCCTCAAAGATGACCTCAGCCTTAGAGGTGACGAGTACTCTTGGCTCTCAAGCAGCTTCTACTTTGGTTGGCTGATCTGGGCCATTCCCTCGAACCTCCTCATGCAACGCAGCCCTCCTGGTTACTACTTGGCCTTCAACATTTTCATGTGGGGTGCTCTACTCATGACGCAGGCCGCTGCAAAGAACTTTGCCGGCCTTCTCGCTCTTAGAATCCTTTCTGGTGCATTCGAAGCCATCGCGGACCCGGCTTTCATGCTCATTACTTCCATGTACTTCACGCGTGAAGAGCAACCGAGTCGTATATCAGCTTGGTATGCTTTCAATGGTATAGGCGTTGCTGGCGGAGGTTTGATAGGTTAGTTTTTTGACCTACTTTTCCCCTAAGCTATATCTAACATCTCCTTGACAGGTTATGCCATTGGCAACATCAAAGGAGCACTTCAGTCATGGCGTTATGAGTTCCTTGTAGTCGGTGCTTTTTGTTCTGCTTGGGCCATCGCTCTCGTCCTGCTACTGCCCAATTCTCCTCGTACCATTCGAGGTTTCTCCCACGATGAGAAGCTCGTCATGATCGCTCGAATGCGACGCAACCAAACTGGTATCGAACAGCGAAAAATAAACTGGGGTCAAATCAAAGAAGCCTACCTCGACTACAAGACATGGCTATTCACCTTGCTTGGCTTCGTTTCTAATGTCCCCAACGGTGGAATTTCAAACTTTTCAACGCTGGTCATCCAGGGACTAGGGTTCGATACGCTTCATACGGCTCTCCTGGGTATTCCTCAGGGCGTCCTCGTGGTCATCTGGATCGGACTTGGTGCTCTGGCAAATAAGTATATGCCCCCCAATAGCCGAACTCTGGTCAGCGCTATTTTCATGATTCCAACGATAGCCGGAGCGCTCGGCTTTCTTCTAGCGCCAGAAGATGCTTACGTTGGTCGCTTGATCTGCTTGTAAGTGTTTCCGTCTTTCTCATCTCGCTATCCTCTAACTTGGTGAAGTTACCTCACTGGGTCTTATCAGGCGTCATTTGTTATCTGCCTTTCTCTAATCACTTCAAACACTGGAGGCCAGTCGAAAAAGATGATTGTTTCTGGTATGATTTGGTTTGGTGCCTGTGTTGGCAACATTGCCAGCCCCTTTTTCTACCGCCCCGAACAAGCACCCTCTTACCACCTCGGTATCGGATCCCTTCTTGTCGCCAACTGCATCGAGTTCGCACTGTTTTTCGTCTTCAGATATGCCTTCAAGTGGGAAAATAAACGGAAAGAGCAGCATCGTGAGGCTTTACGAGCAGCGGGCCATGATTTTACTGCCAACACTACTGCGTTCATGGATATGACGGATAAGGAAAACCCGAATTTTGAATACGTGTACTAGGAGATGTGCTGCCATTTCAAGCTACCGAGTCTCTTCAAACGAATATAACTACTATTCACCTGTACTAGCTTCATAGTTGTATATTTTACGATATCTCTCTATACTTCATATGGGTTGTGTGCGCCAAGCTAAAACACTTTTGCTCAGGCACAACTGTATCGCTATTACGACAGACGCACTAGGGGAGGCAAGAAAACTTGATATCTCTGTCTTAGGTGACAAAAAGACTTAATTATGCTTAAGATATCTTAGTAGGCCTTTAGAGCAGTTTATTTTGGCACCCCGATTTAATGTCAAAAGTTTTGCTCCTGAGGACGCCTAATCATCTCCTAATACAGCCAAAGTCGATTTGTCTCAAAATGTTATTCTGTAGGCATTGTTCAACTTTGTTCTATTATTTGTCAATATTGATGGATGTGCAGTTCACAAAATTCAAAGAAGCTCAAGGCCTTGATGCTGATGCATCCGGTTGTCCTGTCAACAATTCTTATGTTTAATAATACTGACAAACTTCCAATGAGCGACTTTAAGCTATATTTGTAGCTTGTCATTGGTCTGGAGCACATCATATGACCATGTTCACAGCCCTTGGGCCTTCAACCTGGCCTTGACGAACAAAGCCATTGTTCGATCTCGCAAGCCAATAGTTCTTACATTCTTTTGCCTCTGATTTATATCAATGTTCAGTCTTGAATATTAATATGGCCTTTTTCCCTACTATATTATAATCGAGACAGCCTCCTCGAATATCTCGTCTTTTTACCAACACAACTTCCAAGGGCCAGCATACTATCTCCAGCAACATCAAAACGATACCAATTGCAGGCTCTCTCAGTGTCTAAGATAAGTACCCTCCCCAGAACAGATTACTGACACCTTGCGGTACACAGCATCTTGCAAGTTAAACCTTGGAGATGCCTTCTATTCCGATCGTTGAGCATAGACAGCTCAAATCTTGCTTGTCTGACCTTGTTTACGGTGATCCGAAAGGTACTTATATAGCTGCAATCATTTTGGCTATTGCCTTGACTATGGTAACGGCAATGTCCGTTATGCTGTCTTTAATAGCCAGCCGGCAGAAGAAAAAGCTCAAGGAGCTCCAGTTTGTGCGACAGAAGGCTTCCAAGTATCAAGCTATAGTCCATACTGCGCAGGCACAGGCTCTGGCATCGCAGCTTAAGGTCGAGAATTATGAGAAAGAGAATCTTCGTCTGTCTACTGCCGTGGAGCAGTGGCGAAGGAGTTATGTCGAACTCGCTAATAACCACCACAACTCAACTCGTCCAAGCCAGTATCCCAGTTCACCTACCAAAGAGTTAACAAAGCATGTTCAGATAGTGCCACCAACAAATTGGCAGAAGCCTGGCAATTCACCTCTCAGGCATGTAGAGTCAGTCTCACCGGTAAGTTCCACAGCTACAAGCGAATACGAAGGCTTCTCCGAGAGTGCACCGCCAAGTGATGGTTACTGTGGCTCCGATGACCAGTCCTTCACTGCCAGAACAGAGCGGATGATGGCGGAAATCCGTGCTGAACAAGATGCCTCCAATCGCGTGGCCGACAAGCCACCCCAGATTCCAGCTTCCTCCCTATCTTTTTGAATGAAGTGGTGAGTAAGAATACTGCGTTTCAAGATGCGCCTACAAGCGGTTGCAGGATTTTGGTTGTGAGGGGATATTTGTAGTTGTAGTTACTCAATAAAATTAAAAACCCTACACTTCTTTCACTCCCTAGTTAGAACTCATATGGCTTAAAACGTGACTCTTGGTCGATATATTGGAGCAAATGCTCATCGGCACTCGTAGATTAATCAGGACTCTCCCTTGGTACCTCCTTGTAAAAGTAACTGACCTCGTTTCCTGTCCACCATCATAACTCTAGGATATCTTTGATTCCGAATTAAAAGAACTTGCTCTTAAGACCACCCATCACGACGTTCCTCTTTTGCTTGTTGAGGAACTTGTTTACATCATCTGCCCATCCAGCGCTGTTGTTCTGCAGGTTCTCCATGTTATCACCCATCATGTTCAGCTTCTCGGTCCTTTCGTTCAATTGTCTCGTCAGGTAGTCTCCCCATCCTTCTTGGCTGCCCGATCCCGATGCGGCGGCGGGCTCTCCAGCCCGAGCAGCCCGTTGTTCGGCTGCCGCTGCGTCCATCATTCGCTTGCTGGGAGGCCTATCTGGACCACCTACCAGCAGATCAAGATCGGTAGGAGAGATGTATTGGCTGCCCGAGATCCACTGCATGTTTGAAATAGTCGGCCGAGGTGGACACTCAAGCTTGGGGTTTATCAACGTGTCTGGCGATTGCTGAGGTCCTTTGCCTGTTCCCCAGACGTGGATCACAGCAAGCTCACTTGGACCCGTCCAAGCAAAGATGTCACCAGTCTGAGTAACAACTGAGTTTGTACTCCTCGTCACATCTATCATGGGAAGGTCGGCCTTTCCAATGTCTCTGAGACCAGGAATTGAGAATGCACGAGCAGTTCGGTCGCCAAAGACACCAACAACGGCAAATCCCTGTAACTCGAGCTCTGCTACACATGCAGAATCACAAAGCATGCTATCAAACTCTTTTGACGCGCCTTTGGAGTTAGCCGGCTTGAAGATGCGAATTTCTGTTTGCGTGACTATCGTGCTTGTTAGTTGTGTTAATTTGAGTCAAAGCTATGCGCCACTTACCGGCAACTAGTACGCCATTGACCTGACGTCCTTCCCTAAGGCCTGCCACGATCGGCCCAGTAGCATGGGCAGGCTTGCCGGTATCAGCTTCGATGGGGTTGAGTGAAATGATCTTCCCATCGAACGATACAACGCCTGCGAGCGACGCAGAGTATGTGCCGTCTTGGCCAGGCAGAAGTTTAAAGGTGATGACTTTGCCTAGGTTTGTTCCCACAAAGCAGCAAATGCTCGAATATTTGTCCTCGTCCAAGGTCATGACACCAAACTCAATTACAACAGGCCATTCTTTCTGAGGGCCCGGCGAAGAACTGTGACTCTTCAAGAATGAAGTTCGCTTGTCTGGCTTGGCGAAATCCGTCATGGGTGCCTGGAAGAAGATAGTAGGTCCGCGAAGATCAATCAACGTGAGGAACCCCAGTTCTGAGCCTACGGCTACGAATCCAACATTGGACACCTGTATAGCTGTGATAGGGCCCATCATCATCTCGTAGAGAACGAGAGGTTGCAGGCCCTCTTTCAGACCCGGCTCTGCTCTCGAGCTAATGTCCGTGAGGCCCTTGGGATTGGGGTCAAGCTGGAGAGCTTTGTCTTTGCCGAAAAAGCGGTTCTGACCCCATCGATAAATGATGGCCTCTCCCGTGCGTGTTCCTACGGCGAATTCTCCGGTGCTAGTCGCCATGTTCATACAGGTAATGTCTACATCTTCGTATCGGTCCAGTGCTCGCGCAACGTCGACTTGAAGCTGGGTTCCATTCTCAATTTCATCAGCATGGCCCGAGTCCCAGATCCTAATTGTGCTATCGGCATGAGCGGCTTGGATTATGGTTCTCTCTTCAAATCTTTTCCGAGGTCGCGACGCTTCGGCTCCTCCTTTAAGCAGCGGCTCGCCCTGGTTGCGCTTCTCGAACATGGAGAGCCATCGGGGACGTTCGAGAGGTGACACATTGACTTTTGTCACAAATGGATGGACAAAAGAAACGGAGGGATGAAGCTGGTTGGTAGGACTGATTGGATAGCCAGAGGGGAAACTTAGCGTGATGAGCTCACCAGAGGAGAGGAGAACCATGACGGCAATCGGGTCTTGCGCGCCAGCAAAATGAGGAGAAAATCGTGGAATGAGGAGGAAGTTGATCGCTTGTGCACCAGAAGGAAGAGGAAGGGCATTCTTTCGCTTCCCCCTGCAGTAGTTAGCCAATATTTGCCAGGTCGAGGTCGCATAAACCGGCGTCTGGCCTAGGTCAATGAATGTCAAGCCCTTCGGCGATGCATCAGGGCGTTGTCCGCCTGCAATTAGAAGGCCACTATCGTCACAATTCTCTTTACAGCACCAGGCAATCTTAGTGATGGGCTCAGGTAAAGCAGGTGTAGGAGTCTCGGGCGAGGGTTGGTCGATGTTGAAGTCAGTCAGGGTTCTCGCCATCACAATCTTCTCGGCTTTCGGATCCCAAAACACCAAGCTTCCATCATCATGAGCTGTCAGGATGAATGTACCGGAGGGGTGCCAGAGTGCATGTGTAAGTCGAGGCCTTCGAACCGTCTCAACAGCTGCACCGTTGCCTCCCGGAGCGCCTGCTGGAACAACATACTCATAGTAGTTGACAGGTTTGGCTTGTTTGAACGAGTAGACAACAGCGCCATGGGTGTATCCTAAGAGTAGCTTGCCGACGTCTCGGGGATGAAGAGACATGGTTATGAGGTTTGGAGTGGTGGCACCAGGGTTCTTTTCTTTCCAAAAGTTGGGAAGTCTGAAGGAACGGGCCAAGCTGCCTCTATCCAGGTCAAATGCCATGATGTCTCCATTGTACAGTCCGATAAAAGCCCAATCAAGCATAGGATCCGTCACCAAAGAAACGACCTGGCCAGCGACGACCAGAGCGGCGATGCGCTCGCCGGTGTCGAGGTCCCATATTCCCAACTCGTTCTTCGCGTCGACGGTAACAAGGCGGTTGGCCGAGAATTGTACGATCTGGAAGGATGTGCGTCGGGGAGGCTCGAGGATCTTGTGTACACGTCGCTGTCCGAAGATGTAGACTCTACCGGGACCAAACTTACTTTCACCGGTTCCGATGGCTAGGAGGGATTGGACTGGGTCGTAAGCGTAGCAGCTGCGACAAAGAATGGAGGGTCAGCTGGATCATTTTGGGGCATGCATACATGATACATGTTGGGCGAGATGGAGCGATACCTAATTTGAGAGTTGATGCCATAGCGAGCCTGATCGTCGGGCATGAAGAGTTCAGGTCTGATGCTCGCTGATAGGTCATTCTGCATGCCCGTCTGCTTGCCGCGCAGGAAAGCCGCCATGTTGTAGTTGACGTCGCCGAAGTCTATGACGACAGCGATAACTAGCGATTGTCAATGTTCCGGTGGTGAAATGTTCTAGAGCTTTGCAAAGCTCTCGCCTTGAAAAGAATCAGAGGAGAGGGATGGAAGATGGAAAAGAGAGACGTTCCGGTGGGGTTTGTTTAACTGAGGCGCCTGCCCGCCAAAGCCGGTACCTTACGTAGTGCGCCCAGTGCTCTCTCCAGGGACAATCCAAGACCCCAAGACGCCCAAGACCCTTGGTAACGGCAACGTCATCCCGTGCTATCACTGTGCGGAGTATCTAGGCCGTTTTTTAATACTGTGGGTTCAACTCCCAGGTGGTCTTTGTACTACCACATTGTTATTCTCTCTATTCCAAAGAACTGCAGAACGTATCTTATGTTAGGTAACTCACTATTGTTTCCCCCTTAAAATTCCAATTTATCTCAACGAAGTCCACTCGCAATTCAAGAAGACAGCGTGCATACGACGTTGGCCTACTAGCTTGACCCACGGCCAAGCCTGCACTGCCCCAAAGCATCTGATCATGGTAGAACCAGTCGAACCTTTCCGCGTGGTCAAGATCGTGGTAATTTAACTTCCAAATCACCAAGGGGGACGCATAAACGGAAATAGGATCGTGGGAAGAATCAACAGTGAAGAGCCCAAAAGCTCCAGCTACGAATGAAATGTTGACAACAGACCTGGACTGGGTCCTTAACTGGGCATGGACAAGCAAACTGGGCCTGGGACAATTTCGACATCGGGACGTCCCTTGCTTGCATACTTCCGAACCGAGATAATATCCTGCTATAGCTCGTTAGCCTGACGCTAACGGCTTCCACGCTTCCATACTGATGGTCAACTTGAATAGCGTGAACAGGTAGATTACAATGTCTCGAATACAATTTGATGTGAATTATTAAGTCAAGGTTCAGTCTTCAGGTCAAGTATCTTAGATTTATACTCTTTCTATCTAAGGTACTCAGAATTGACTAGATCTATGAAAGGCATTGCTGATATCAACACTTTGTTTCATCATCTAGACAAGTTATATTGCATGAATCTTGTTTGAAATTTGTCCATCTCGAGGTCTTTTAGAGTACGTGATTGGTACAAGAGAAGTTACCGACTTGGTCGTGTATATCTCTAGACGATGACTTCTGTGTTGTGCCTGTAGACTATCGTTGTCAACTGCTTGTTATTCCAAGGGTTTCATCTTCAAGTCAACGTAGCGTTGTCATAATTGCCGAGCATCATATGCCGAAACATACGTCACTAAGGATCGTTCCGAGATGATCGACGGATAACACATCACTTTAGCCTGTAATGCATGGTCAGGGCATACTATGTAATTGTCTCGTGGTTTTGCAATGCCTGATATCAAGGGTCTCATCATATCGTATCCATGGAGAGCTGCGTGGTAGTAATGACCGTTGTACTTGGGGAACTGGCACCCAACGTTACCGAATAACAAAACAAGTCCACGTGGACCTGTTCTATTATGATAATGGTGATGATGATGATGATTATGCCAGGCTACGATAGATGCATATAGGGCCATCTCCCAACCCACACTTGTCACTATCGATGCCCAGTGAATCGTACTCATGAGACCAATCCTGCCTAAGCTGAAACTCGGTGTCGATGCAAGCGGGCTCCTGTGTCGAATTCCAGAAGAAGCGAGGCTTACCTTTTGTTATTGGCCGCAAGTGACGGTTGGGTTTGCAGCGTTTCGCTGCAATTGGCTCTCACGGTCGACGTGTCGTATTGTGTTGGGCATCACTTGCAGCTAGCCCGCCCCTCCCAACTTCTGACCCCCCTCTGACGTGGGCCTCTCAAAAGCCTCATGTTGGCCTTTTGCCCTACAGGATCTCTCGTTTATCATAAGCAGATCAACTAGCGGGCCGTCCACTGGGCCCCGCTGGGTCCCGATGCTTCTACTGATGCTGCCGCCGCTGCTACTTACTGCTGCTACTTCTGCGTTGGCCCTGCGTATGTACACCAGGCTGCCCTGCAGACCGGGTCATTATGCTGGCAGCCATAGAAGCCAGAGCCCTGCGAAGGCTTGCAACTTGATTGACGATTGACCTCTAGGACAATATGTTTAATCTGTGCCCAACTATGTTAGTCAGGGCTACATAGCTACCTGGCTACCCGATCATACACAGATTGAAGGCGAATTTAATTGCTTTGTCTACCCGCTTATGGATACCGAACAACAGATCGACACAGCACTACTACCATCCACAAGCAATTCTTATTCTCCGAAATGGCCTTTTACAGTCGCAACCACGGCCAACTATCTGCGGATCAGCTTCGCCACTCTGACTCTGACTCTGACTCCCGCTACCACCACGCATGGGCTGGCTCGTCCTCCTCAAGCTACTACAACGAGCCAACGACATCAGATCCTCGTTACCACGCCTTTGGTAGCTACTATGCCAGCAAGTCAGCCTCAAACTGCAGCCACTCCTACAGACCAGGAGACTACAATGAATCTCAGCAATCTGAAGATCATCAACACATGTGGCAGTCTCAAGAACACAGTGGCGCACCACCATCTTCTTCCTCAGTTGCCACTTCAAGTCCTCCCAACTTACAAGATGACTCCTACGGCTGGATGAGCCCAGCCGATGGTAGTGGCGATCAAAATCTCTGCCATTGCGGCAAGACGTTTCGACGTCCGTCTGACCTCGCGTAAGTTTAACCGAGTCCCTATCTCAACGCCTGCAACTAACGACCCATAGAAAACACCAAAAGTACCACATGAAGTACTTCTCATGTCTCGCCTCAGGGTGTGACAAGTCTTTTGCTACTCAGAAAGACCTGATCAGGCACACGCGCACACATCGCAAAGGCGAAGGCTACCAATGCAAGGTAGAAGGATGTCGCAAGGCCATGTCAGGCCATGTGTACTCACGGAAAGACAACTTCGATCGACATATGCGGACGGCACATCCAGATCATCCGCAAATCTGAGAGGCATACAGAGACTCTCTATTTTTCCGACAGACGCACTATGATGGTGTTAAACAATATAGAAGCTAATTTAAGAGCTTGAAACAGTATAGGCGTATATTATTTGAGATCAGGGGTATATGTTTGAGTATAAAGGGCGATATTGTATGAATTAAGGGACTTATATATAGAAATTTCGACTGGAAACAGGGCAAAGGTTATCAAACCAGTGTGTTTTATTAAAATGCTGTTCACTTCATTATTTTTGCTCCTGCATATTGTGTACATGAACTTGCGAGGGTCGCAAACTATTGACGGAGTATCTGCCCAAGTCAATGATAAACATAGTTATGAAAATAACCTATGAACTGTTGACGTATGGATCAAAGGCTCTAATTGGCAATAGCAGTCCCAAGAACAGTACAGGTAATTGGAGAATTGATTAGATGGTCATTCGTCCACTTGAATAATTCTCAAGATGCAAGATATTCCTGTTTGATTTATCTGCATGGAGAAGGGTTGGTTTCCAGCAGAGGAACTTGAATAATTCAGTCAATTTTCTTGCCGTTCAGCCATGAGCTAATTGTACCATCTTGAAAACGGCCTAGGAAGCCAAGACATAATCTACTTAGGCAGACCATGGCCACAAAGGAGGTCCATGAAGCTGTCAGCCGTCATAAAATTTTACGTCGTAGGCTGCATCGTGACAGCCAACGGAGATGTGATGTCAGTTGTTGGCCTTTGTCCGTTATTTGTATCCGCTATTTAAGTATTCTAAAATTAAAGCAACCTGAGGCATAGCATAAAATGCAAACCTTATAAATAAAAGGCAAAAACAACAATCAAAAACCAAATTCACCCTTGCGAAAGAGCTTACAGAAGTTGATTTCAGTTTCTCAGTGAGTTCCATAAACAGATTTCATAAGCTATAAGAGGCATTTAAACAGCTATTCTACTGCAATCAAAGCATATTCATATACCGTTCAAAGTTCTTCAGTCTGTGTGCCTTGCATGATCAAACTACCCCTTTGAAATATCTTCCCTGACACTCTTCGAGTTTTTGGACATCGCGCATATAAATGCCGAGAATTCTAATGTACAGTTATTCTAAGAATACACCAAGGTCTGTGTGCTTGTGCAATGCGAGACTAGTACACGATGACCACAACGATGACTATTTTTTCCCCTTTCATGGGTACTATGCTTTTGATACGTTGGCTCTGGAGACCAATATCAGTCCAGTATCAGTAAAAGTCCATGGTTCACTCCCTCCCTGAGATATCATTGTCAAGAAAGAAAAGATGATAGTGGTAGGTCTACTTATCGTGGTACTGGTTGATAATGTTTCTAGAGGTCACTCTAGGTCAACCATTGAGGGACTCAGAACGACGATTTACCGCGCTCCTATTCTTTGTCACATCACGGAGGCCTTCCTAATGCTATAGTTAGGCTTGAAAAAGCTTCTAAGAGTTTTAAAACAGGAGTGATCATTCTTGGTCAAAGGACTGGGCAAATATGATGCAGGGAGGCTTCATAACGCCACTGCGAATTATCTTCGATGTTTTGCCATTCATTAACTCAAGGTCCAATCTAACACATGCGGTTTTGGCTAATCCTGGTGTTATCTTTGTCACATATTGGATTGGACAATTGACATGGGCCCATCGGCTCATCTCCTGTTGCTGGATGCATTCACCCAGAAGCCAAGAGACGCATGCTGACAACACATTCTGGTCTCCAATCAATGAGATGAGTGACCAAAATGCTGGTAAACTATTCTCACTAACCTTCTTTCTTTTAGAACCCCTCGTCGATATGTTTTCGTCTGTGGCAGTTTTATCAGTCGCAAATCGAACTTCCCATCGACGTCTCAGACGATCCATCAACGAACCAACTTCAATACAAGCTACGGATTCTGGCAACCATAATTTCGTATCGCTCTATTTGGATTGTGCAACGGTACGGCATTTGGTACTAGACGCGCTTCAGCTAGAGCATGAGAAGAGATCGCGTTGTCGCATGAGCTCGTTGTGGCTCAGCTTTAGGGCAACCAAAGCCGTCAATTGCTTCTGCCATGAGCCAACTACAGTTCCATTAGTTCATTTATTCATGTATACCGAGGTAGGATTGAGGTAAACCGCATTAGTGGCCCGAATGCCTTGTGCACTGGGCTTCGTGGAACTGCATGGTCAGTGGTTCCAACCCAAACAACGCACAGTTGGTGGAATCACGACGACTTGTGTAATTATATCACAAATGCCATCAAGTTTGCTATCACAACATGGGGGCGTGGACACATGTGGGCAACACGCAGTCGCGCCTCTACGTTAACTCGACCCGGGCGGCCTCTCCTAAGCCACGATGGCCTCAACAATGCAGATTGACTGGTGGCATACACAAAGACGGGGCTTGTTAAATATTCGCATACGACTCCGTCCGGCCCATTAGCCGGTTGTTGGAGGCTGAGACACAAAGGCTCCGAGTTGGAGATAAGAAGGATGTCACGTAGAGGCGTTGAGTGGCTTGCTACCGCCTATGGAGCTGAAACATGGGGTTGAGTTCTTATCTGCATAGAACTCAATAGGTCAGAGTTACTATCACTATGTGCTAGTACGTAAAGGAAGATGGTAGCTGTATGCAGTTGAACTGCGGGCTGCAACCTGCACAACCCAAAAGATTGTAACCTTGGAGATATTGAGACAGACACATAATTTGCTTGACACATCTCAATTGTGTTATTGATGCATGATTGACGATCCTTAGGGCTTTTTTATGTGCTCTTTGAAGTATGACAAGGCAGATTGAAGGCTCTTACATGAACAGAGAAACGAAGTCAGGAAGTTGGTGTGGTGGATGGATGGATGGATGCTGTGGCACGCGGGAAGGCTTCCTTGATACATTCTAGAATGTAGCATGCACATTTACTCACTGCGTCATCAATCACATCACATCTTGGCTGATAGCATAATAAAGCAGCGGCCAACGTATGCAACAATCAGCCCGTGCAACGATAAACAGACACTGTACGCGTGCCCATAGGCTGGGAATTACTGCAAGTCGTCAATGTGATGAGCGTCGCGCATCGCCCTGCCAAAGTGCAAACGTTGACGGTAGAGTCATCGAGGAGAAAATATACCCATGCGCATAACACAAACGCTGCTGAATTGATCAGTGCGCACTCTTTGCGGCCGTAAACAGGTCTCTTGCGTTATCTCCATAGGGACTTCAGAATTTGGAGGTGGTGAACTTGAGGGTCAGGCGTAGGTGGGTAACTATTTAGCTCGGTAGGGGTCCCTTGTCTGCATGTCAGCATCACTCTCGCAAGCGCTGATCGCCCTTATTCGCGGCCTTCTAGAAGGTTTCCTGTTACGTGTCGCCTTCCGGAAACCTTCTATGCGCGACGATCTCTGCAACACTCTCACAAGATCACAACAGTGTGCCTCTGGGATTGGCTATGGCGTCGCTCAGCGTCAGACCGTGCCTGTGGCCGGTTCCTCTGGCCCTCTAGGATCTGATCCTGAGTCCACCATCATTTTGAATATTGCATTTGCATTTGCATTTGCATTTGCATTTGCATTATGAGTGTGGCATGTAATAGCTGTGAAATGTACGAAAACGCAGACACGAGTGTGATACTTCACCAGTTGAAGACCTTCTCGAAGCCATGATCCCCTTTGCTGATCAGCACCACACTTTCAGTAGAATTACCAATTGGTCTAGAAACTATCTTCCACCCATATTCCCCTTTCGAAAGACCCAATCGGAAAAGCATGTCCAGTCACACTGCACTTGCATGTGTCTTCTCCAAGTTTGCGTTGTCGCACGAGCTGTCTTTTGGAATGTGCCTCACACAAACTCCCCCGCTATCTCCAAACCCCAAGACTCAAGCCCAGCCATCCCTGTTTAATAGTTGTCATCCCAGGTTCATACCTCAAAGTTAGGGCAGTCGACGTAACATTGAACCCAGCAGCTCGGCTCTCGCCTGTTTTACTACACGCAGCAGGTGAGGAAACTCACTGCAAAGAGTAGTAGTCCACGGTTCATCCAGTCACCTTGGGCCTCAAATTTGGTCACCTAGTACTGCTGCTTTATGAGCCGGGGCAGGTGAAACTGAGTAAATGATCAACTGCTTTGAGAAAATCTCCCAATGCTCAAACGATTGCGCCAATATTCCATAACTGGACACATGCAGGCCTTGATACTGCACAACAACAACCATACGGAATCAGCCCCTAATAAATTGTACTATATATAATGCTGGGCTCTATTTTCCAGTGTCGGATACAGTTGCAATCGCGCAGGACTACCCCAAAGATGACATGCTACTGGCTAGGTACTCAAACTTGGAGCCTCAACCATCCCACCCTCACACTCTGGATGAGAAGCCACCCGTGCATCTGAGGCTGCATGATGTGAGCCATACCTATGTTGGCCCGTCTATATGTGTAAGTCAACCAAGTGAGATGCTCACCGGTCCCAAAACTGAGCCCAAGAGGATCCCCGTTATAAAAGCCTGATGTGCGCTTCTCAACTTCAGAGTTTCTTAGCCAGTCAATGGCCACTTCAACTGCAACTCATGACCGCACCTTGGTTCCTCAAAGAGCTACGTATCCTCGCTCAGCCCGTCTTACACGACTCTATGAATCATTTCATAGTCTTCCATCATTTCCTCAAGCGCCCACGAGATACTTGAACTTGTGCTCACTTGACAAGTGACAATGCCAAACTCTTCAGCAAAAGCCACACAAGGATCTGTTCGATCCGAGAGGCAACTAAACAACATCAATGCGTACGATGACTCTTCCTTTCAACGCGAATACGGTTGAGATCTAATGCACAGACTTTCTTTCAGTCAAGCCACAGCCGAAGATAAGCAAATCATGATGCTCAGATTCGTGAGCGACCTGTACGTGCCTGTTTCCGCACGTCTTCAGGATCCACTATATGTGCCTGGAAGCCACAAGCAGAACAGTGCGAACTTAGGCCGTTTCACGAACCGCCAACGGCCCCACTCCTCCACCGGCTTCGAGGGAATCGGGGCCCAGTTTATCGGTAGGCACTCGGGCCCGTTTCTTTACGGTGGTTCTAACTAACACCAATAATTCCCTTAGGCTCTGGCCTCGGTACGAGTCGCTAGGGGAGTTGCGGCTAATAAAGTCTCGAGTTTATTATCCACCTTGAGACGAGTCTAATTATGGTTATTTTCTCTTCTCTCTTCTCACTTATATGGCTGTTGTGGAGTAAACTAACGCCCAACTGCCGCGTTCGTATCCTCCCTGTATTTGGCACGATGCTAGCGAGCTTTGGTCTTACCGTCGCAAACCACATCATCATCACCATCACTAAAGATAGAGTACTATAAAAATGGCCGTATTATCTTCAAAGGATACCTCTTAGATTTAATAGGTTAGTACTATATATGATGTGCAAGCAATCATAACATAGAAACTTAAATGAAACGATCTTCAATACCTCATCGAGTCTAATCCCTAGGAGAGGTTGTCAACCAACAATCATCCCAACATGATCTTGTCGGCATATGGAACACTATTTTCGTGACTGCAGGCACAGTCAGACGCGATGTCGCTTGACCCGTGCGGCATACGGCAACCGGAACATGTTGACTGGCCATGGGTTTCCTTGATGTGGCGCTGTCTGTAAGTATTATTGCCAAGGCTAGTGTTTCCATCCGCGATCCGGCTGCTTGTTAGCCTTGGTTATGTCCGGGGATCATTTGCAGCTCGGGACAAGGTAGCCGAATGCCGTGACATGGCCTGCAGGGCTACAGCGTCGTCTAGGGCAGAATGCCCCCATGCCGGGACATTAAGCCCTTGAATCGGCTGCGTTGAGTGTAAGTTAAACGAAACTCTTTGGTTACCTTAGCTAGTGGGGGCACTATTGTCAAAGCGCTGACCCTGGTTACGATGGCTTGGGGGCCTCAAAAACTCAACGCCAAAATCGGCTGGGCCATGCTCCTGGAAGGCAGAAGCTAGGAAAGGAAGGGAATCAGGCCCATGACCTGGACGTCAATAAAAAAAAATCTCCTTGGCGTTGAAGCGGTAGCTATCATGAGCGCCATATGAGCTAGCTGTTACTCAAATCGGCCACCCACTTTATTAGGATGGTCGAAATCGATACTTAGACATGCAGCTGCACCCCGACTGCATTTGCATCATGTTGAAACGCTCTAACTCGGCTGCTCGGAGGGCTCAAATGGTATCCCGTATCGAATTCGGCTTTCAATCTTCATATTGTCACTTTTTTACCCCCGGCCTGTTGCTTTCCTTCCCCGGCAGCCACCAATTCGTTAACGAGAGCAAACAACGACCAGGGGCCTTGAGCCCCCGGGCATTTAGGCCCCCCTTCCTGGCGCTGATTGTAGCTGCAAATCATTCTGGATGTTCTGTGCTATGGACCATGGGTGAAATTTGCCCCAAGAGGGACAGTACCTGCGTTTTGTCTCCTGCCAAAGGATCGACATGACGAAGCAGAACATTACCAGGGTGCATGCACACCGCCAAATTTTCATCCCAGGACTGACAATCTCAGAGCAAGAGACCTGAGGCTCTTCCTTGTCTTTGTATCAAGGTAGATAGGCGACACAAGCACTTGTTTACGATTCAATTTAGCCGTTAGTCTGGACCTGCGAGCCATATGATGGGCCGAGGGTAATATTTGCGCCTCGTGCCAAGTGACGTTTTCCAAAACAAGGCTCGCAAAGACGACGACTCAAATCTCACGCGAGATAGGAAGAAGAAGGGCAAGAATATGGCTTCATCGCACCCCCCAGTGTGTCGCGCGTCGACGGAAAACTCCATGAATTTTTTCAAGAAATATGCTTTTCCTGGTTATGAGCTATTGACAGGACTGATTGATCATGGCCGACATCTGTAGGAAGAAGCACGGGATCGACATAATCACAGTCGACAAGCCCCAACACTCACGCCCATGTCACCTTTAGCAGGGGTGCGAGGGGGGTTGCACCTCAGCACGCCGCTCCCATTTTCTCAACATCCTGACGCTCGACGTACAGGCGCCAGCATCTGGAGTTTTGCTTCTAGAAAGAATTTTGGATTTGGCGCTTGCCTGTCCATGGCGCGCATGCCATGCATGAGACTGCGCTGCAATCGAGTTGATTAGACAATAATTCTGCCACACCCCTCCTGCAAACCCTGCACGCTCTTGATTAGCACCGGCAAGATCCAAAAGCAGGGGAACAAAAAGACAACGTCCGCCTGGATCCGAGGAACAGTGCCAGAGCTTGCTCTCAAGCCAGCCCAGCCCAGCAGTAAAGCCCCCCTGGTGGGTCTGGGATCTGGGATGTCCTCCCCGCCCAAGAGATTCCCTTCTGTGATCCCTGTCTCACCTCAAAACTCAAGATTCCACTGGGGCTTGAACACAGACGATGATAACTTTGTGCTTGCTGACACCACATTCAGTCTGCATGAGCTCGCTCAACTTTCATGAACCAGCTCATCGAGCGGAGCCGAGATGCGCTCTTCGCCCACTGATATGTCTAGATTTACTTCGATAACAGCATGTACTGCACGCAAGAGCTCAATTTCAAGGCCGGTAAGTCCGTGGCGGGGCCTTTTCGTGAGAAGAAGTTCTGAATCCAAAGGAGTGAAGTAGTGTGGCTGAGTTGTATGTGGCGCCACAGTTGTGAGGCGGTGCGTAATTAATCCACTTCAAGACAGACGACAAAGCCGCATTGCATTCCTTGAGTCTTGGCGTGCCCGACGCTGTGCGGGCGGCGCCAAGATGCCCCACTGAATAAATGACAACGGATCGCTCCCCGTTGACATACATCCAGCGATGCTCGCCAGCGTGTAAAAGGTTATGGGATCAAAGGGGGTGGTGGGTGCAGTAACCTCGGGGTGCTTCTGGCTCGTGTTGAGAAAAGAAGTGCAATCAAGCATAATTCTCGCGAACTCGGGAACCATATTGAGGTGTCGGGGGGAGGGTAGGTTGCGTTGGCCAGCATTTTGCGGCACGCACATAGTAACCCCTGGCCCAAGATCCTGGGCCGAGCAGGCGAGTTGCAGAGGGACACCAGATCCGCTGCGTCCACCCAGCACATCTTTTCCAAGAGCCAAACTCCATGCCTGGGCTGCTGGGGTGCTGCGTTTGCAGGTTTAAGAGGTGGTAGGTGATGGATACTGTGGATAGGTACAGCCGGGAGCCCCCGGCTGTAAATTGAGTGAAGTCAGGTTCGTTACAGTGCTTCTTTCATTTCTTCTTCTTCTGTCCGTAATCCCCTTTGTTTCGTTTCCTCGCTGTCACACCCCCTCCCCTGCTGAGCCACCACCTCTGGCTTCGTGCCCGTAGCTAGCGTCATGGCCAGCTAGCACGCAGCAGCGGTTGGAGTGGCATTCGTGATGGAAACAAAAAGCGAAAACTGAAATTCGGGTTTCGAGAATTAACAACGACGGCGGCACCATAATTGGAACCCCACGGGTTCCCTGTTTTTCTTCTTCTTGCTTTTTGTCTCTCTCTCCATCACATGCCGCCGGACCGCGGAAGAAGCCAAAGCCTGATTGATGATCAAATGGTTAATTTGTCAGTCGCGTTTCATTAATTGATTTGGATCGTACGCGATGGAAAGCAAGGTCAGGTAAGCTGTGTAGCTATTCCTGGCATTGGCCCAATCTCTTAGCTTGCAAAGCGGGCCTCGTCATCTTGCTGAGATCTTTTTCAACCTCTGTTTAAGGGGGGAAAACCTTGCCGTAAAGCATGAGGTGACGGTCAAAAGTTGATTGTCCAAGAATCTCAGAGTATATCTTTGTTATCTCGGGGACATGTCTTCGGCGCGGCGGTATTTCTCTGCAACTGAGCTGCCATCTGAAATTGGATCTGAACCCCTCGAGTCGCATCTTCAAATTGTTCAGCCTTAATCAGGGTGTGTAGCTAATGAAATCTGGTGCTGGTGCCGTTTAGTGGACCGTTTCTCCAGACAAGCCCGCCCGGTCGATCTGGGCGAACGGTCCGCATGGGCACCCTGGGCCATTGACAGAACCTAAAAGGGCAACCCTGGAAAACAATGAATGGTCATCCTGTCATCGAAGCTCGCGGTGCTTGCTGCAGATGGACCAGGTGCTGTTGCTGGTGAGTGGTCCGGACGCCACACGTCTTGTCAACGCTCCATCCACCTCCACCAACAATTGCAGACGGACGGACGTTAGGAAATTTTCAGGATACACTGATATTTTTAATTGATGCTGCATCACGACGGGCGGATGATCGTTGCCTTTCCGCGGTTCCATTTGCAGTCCTTTTAGTGCCAGAGTACACAATCGGCCCCTTGTCCAAGCTGCGGTAATCAACGCTTTGCGCGTTAGCAAGATAATCTTTATTCTCCTCCTTCGACTCAATGAATGCGAAAAGACCTGGGGGCGCGCGCGCGTCAATCTTTAAAGAAGCCCCAGTGCTGCTATCGTCACCGCCATACGTCAGTGTCATGGTTCGACAATTGATCAAGCCCAGCCCAATAACAATCGCTGGTGCATCCATTGGCTGTTGATGCTTCGGACGAGGATACTAATTTTGGTGCTAGACCCAGGCTAGGTGAGACGTTTGGGCTTGAGGTCCGCGTCGTGGGGAAACGAGAGATCATAAGAGATCCATCTATCCATATCACTGTATCCTTTTTTTTTTTTTCAGGCTCATGGACTCGCTGCCTTTTTTTTCCGGGGACTCGACCAAAGTGAGAATATGAAGAATTCGAGGGGATGAGGCAAGAGAGGGGTGTAGGTAATGGAAGTCTGCGGGGTAAGCTAACTTGTGTCTGTCGTTTGTCTGCTGCTGTATCTCGCCAACAATGACATCCATCGACATGGCATTGCATGGGATTCTTTTGTGCAGGATAGCAGAGCTTCAAGGGTCTGGGTCGCCTCTGACGGGGCCAAAAGCGAACCTACCTCAAGGAACTGGAAACCCTGTGCTGTGCTGGGCTGGGCTGGGCTTGACTGGGTCACCTAGTGCCAGGGACGGTGAGGGGAGGGGAGGGGACCTGAGGGAAGCGAGCCCAAGTTGCAGCGGAAGCCCACCTCAGAAGTCGTCGGAGGGCCGGGCGGTGCAAAAGGGAGACCGCTCGCTGAGCTGGGCTGGGCTGGGCTAAGGCGCCGTTTTGCACGTCAGTCAACTTGCATCTCATCTTTCTTCTTCGCCTGCTCCTGTGTTGTTCCGTGCGTGCTGTGCTGTGCTGGGGTGAGCTGGGTTGTCTTTCCATGCCAACATAATTCACCCCCCTCCCCTAAGGCGTGTCTGGACATCTTCCTCCCCGCTCCCCCTCCGCGCTCGGCTGCTCACTCGCTCACACATTGGACGGATCGTTGTCGCAACTTTTTTACTGTACTTTATTCACCGTCATGCCTACCTTATTTCTCTCTCTCTCTGCTCATGTTTGATACATCCAGCCTTTCATCCCAACTCTACCGAGTAGATATAAACTTGTCCACCCCCTGACGAACCTTTACTTTGACTTCATCACCATCACCTACTTACCTTCTACACATTATCTTACCTCGCATTCTTGCTTTCTTTACGCCGTAACTGTTTGCCCATCGAGCTCTTGCGGGTGCTGTCCCTTCCCCCACCACCCTCCGCCGCCGCCGCCTCTACCTACGTCCTCCAGTTTTCACCCACTTCCTCCTCACTCTCCTCTCGGCGTCGAACACCACCGCTTGTCTTCTGCGCTGCATCAACTTGTAGCTCATGCCACTCGGATCCTTCCTTCGTATCCAATCTTATATTATTATTCTCATCGGTCGTTTGCAAAGGCCGTATTCGTTGGTGTCGTCGTTCGCTTCCGTCCGTCACTATCATCACCACCGACATCGCCGCCGCCGCAATCGCTTCATCCATAATAGTTTCGGTCTTCGTACTATCGATCTGTAACGACCGTCCAATACCGCCCTTCAACAGTCATGTCTTCCGTCGCCCCTCAACAGGGTTCGGCCGTCGGGTACGTTGCATTGCGTTGCGTTGCCCGCTGAGGAAGCACGTGTTGGGCGTTCTCGGTAGCAGGCGATGAAGAATACAGCTAACAGAGATGACGATGGTAGCGTTACGGTAGAAGCTCGCCAAGAAGCCCCGGAATTGTCGCAGAACCGTGTGGCTTCGTACTCTCACGATAACGTCTCTGCCCGCATCCAGTCTCGTGGTGCCAACAACGGTCACGTTGCTGGCGGTCAACCTCAAGAACAGAGCGTTGCGAGCCTGGAAGCCGACATGGCCAGGTACCAGCCGACGTATTATGTCGTTGTCGTTCCGTCTAACTCAAACTTGGCTGGATTCGGCTCGCAGTTTGAATGATTGTTGAAAGGTTCATCGCCTGTTCCTGTCCCTAGACTTTGGTCATAAGCTAACAGTAGGGGTTCCAGACTACCCGGGTTGGTTCGTCCCAATGCCTTCCCTCAACATCATTCTTTAAGGTAAGTTTGTGCGTTTCGTTAGCTTTTCTTTCCTTTATTTGCTTGCTCGTTTGTCTGATAGACGGCATATTCTTGTTAGCATCTGCCGCAATCCCAAAGTCGTTGGTTGACCTGGACCAACTCTGGGTGACTGCTGTCGAGACATATATGAAGCTGGGGCCCACGGGACCAGCGATGTTGATGTGATAGAAAACCCTCCAAAATGGTATCACTGCGAATGCAAGTTGATCAAAGTGGTTCTGTTGATCAGAAGCCGCCATGAGGTTGAAGCATATACCCTACCTTTTTCTGTTTGTAAATATTATACCCACTTTTGCTTTTTGTTCGATTGGAAAGAGGTCCTAATGCTTCCTTGTATCGTTCTTTCATGCTTGGTTTCTTCGTTTCTTTTCCTTGTCTTGTGTATTATGTTTGGGGTGTTTCAAATTCTGTATTTGCTGTTGTCGTTTTCTCCGTTATTTGCTGGCGTTATAGAGCATTGCAGACCGCTTCTCCGAGAAGCAGCGGTGTTGAAGTGCATGGGCATGAAATGAAGGGGAAAATCATGCCCGAGCAACCTGGTATCATTATGGGATCGCAACATGTGGTACGAGGGACTGCATATCCCTCTCATTGCGTGAATCGTTCCCTTGTGTTCCAGTTGGCACGAATCTCATGAGCATTCGTCAGCATAGGGCCCAGAGCCCTCATGCCGCGGGCGGCGCAAATCGAGACAGCATAAGATCTGGTTCTGCAAGCTTCATGATGAAAGACTCAAGATGAATGACGATTCACGCTTGCTGGTGGAAATGATGAGAAAACTGAGAATGATGAGGGACAAAGAATGGCACTGAGAGGGGTTGGGCTTTATCAATTTGTGGGTGGCTCGGTCATCAAACAGCCAATCAGGTTAGAGACCTCTCAACCTTTAGGCCCCAAAGCTATGGATAATGCATCATCAATCGCGAAAGCATAATCCTCGGACTTCCTGAGGCACGCCATGTGGCCAATTATCTCCTGGCAGAGCATCAAGGCTTTCCTTCATTACAAGGAGTAGCCCTGAGAAACCCCATTCATTGGTCTCAGTCACTCAAAACAGTCGGCCTCATTTTGGGTGTTTTATCAAAAGTACTATCTCAAGGGAGCACGGAAAATTGCATGATTCATGGGCTATTTTGTTATTTTGGAACATCTCCTTCTTGGATCGGACTGTACAGTTTACGACATGTTGTTCTTGTGTGCTATTATAGATTGGTTTGGTTCAGAGCACTATTACATTACACAGGGGTAGACAGGCATAATTATAAAAAAAGCATAATGTGGTGGGCATGGGTGTTCCTATCCTGTAACGTTCTGTGAAGCTTCAATTATTCATCTTTCGAAGCAGCATAAGTTCAGGGCATATGTGATCATCATCTCATCACAACTTTCCTAAATGCATGATCTGATCTTGCAAGATGACCAAAACCGAACCTAGAATGGTACATCTGGACAACCAGTCTCGTGCCTTTACAATCCCTGCTTGCAAAGTTGAACCTGTCATATACATCGCCCTGGTTCTCGTTTGAACAGGTTTCTTGGAAACTTTAATATGTTTTCGCCAGTCTATAGCAACACTTTTCTTTCATGATTCGAAAATCCTAAAATAGCTGTTCATTTCGTCACGCTACTCATCGTAGCTCAGGCGTGTCGCTCGCTTTGAACATTGGTTATACCATGAGCGATACGCTTCGGCAGGGCGTCATCTATCCAAGCGTCCTGGCGCTAATGGATCTCGTAATTCCAAAGAGAGGCGAATCAGCGGTGCCTCGAATATCCGCTAGCCACCAGAAGCATCATATAGTCCTATCATCTTGAGGAACGCGCTAAACAATCTCCAGCGTCTCCTGGTTCATCACGCCGTGGTCATCTAGAATTCAGCAAGATATGGCCTTGGACCCATTTTCTAGGCACACGATGCATAGTTATGTGCTCATGAAGCTGAAGTCAAGAGACTGATAATTCCATAAATTGGCCAATTCTCCCAGCTCTTCGTCTGAGATGTTCGCAAACACAGGGCCCTGAGGGGGCAGGTCTGCGGACACAAAACCTGTTGGGTTCTGCATGTACAATTGCGGCTGCCAGTCAGCACATGGTGCAGGAGCAGCGTATGCCATGGGAGGCACAAAGTCACCACCCACAGCAGGAACACCTCCCAAGGTGTATACTGGAGAGGGTGCCACGGGCGTAGGGATAATAATGGGAGAAGGTGAGAAAGTTGCTGCCGGAGGGGAATTTTGCGGATGTGATACGCTTCCTGGCGATAGTGTTTGTGGTGATGCAGCAGCTTCTGGGGGAGCTTGAGGTCTCTGGGGCACAGGGTTTTTGCTAGCCATGCTATGCGCTATCGTTGGTCGTGGGAGACGCTGAACGATTCGAGTGAGGATTCCATGTGATGCCTTGGCTGATTTAGTCACCATCCTAAGTCCCTGCAACATGGCATGCGCCTCATCGATGGCTTTGTAAACACCGTCTCGTCGAGGAAGTGTATGATGCTCATCATGAAGAACTGCTGAGCATAAGACTGTCGAGATGTCGAAAATGCAAAAGAGAACAAAATGGAATTTGGCATCTCGGGGATAGACATGTTCGAAAAATCTACGCAAAGATGCCATCAGCTCTAGACAGTAGTTGATGCCGTCGTTGCGTATTTGCAGCTCTGCCTCTAAGGATCGTATAGCAAACGGTCTTGTAAGGAAGCCACGGATAGGCTGTAGGAGCATTGAAAATGCCACGGTATGCAGTATATGCCTGTGAAGGACTATCCAGGGACACGAAACGTCTGAGGATCTGTCCGGATGCTGGACGTTGAAGGGAGGTGGAAAGGTTGCGATCCATGTCTCAATGATGCTCTGGTATTCCTGGACATCTGCATGGACCATGACGTTTTTGGGCGAGCCGAATCTTCTAAACAATTGTCGTATTACGCTGCATTGCATCTTCATGTGTAATAGAGGGGAGTATTGACATCCTTCCAAGCCAAGACTTGGAAGGCTGGCATCGCAGTCGGCTCGGTCGATAATCATAGGTCTACCCAACAGTGTCGAAACCTGCCTTTTGGAACATAAGTCAAAGGATATTGAGACATGCAGAAGATCACCTACCAATCCCAAGTGTCCAGAATGCACCAGATTCTCCGCCTTACTTCCTGGTCAAATTCTGAGATGGAGCCTGCCTTGCCTTCTTGATGGATGGCTGTGATAAAGTCAGCAGTCTTGTCAAGTTGCCAGCTATACACAGACATACATAATTCTTGGGCTTCTCGAATAGCAGCGTTCAAAACATGCCAACATTCGATAAAACGGGCTTCGGCTTTGAACCAGTAACAAGAATGCAGGAGTTGCTGGACATTGATAATGTGACCATGACCAAGGGGTACAGCGCTTCCTAGCTCTCGAGCAGCTTCATGAAACCGCTCACTTATACACTGGATCGTATCACTGAGGCCAACCTCAAGATTCCTCTGCAATTCGACATCGGTATACTGCGAGGCACATGCGCAAACTGTGAGGAGAAGGCAAGTCCATTGGACGCTCAGAGGACGGTTCTCGGTTCGTGCTGTCCACCATAGTTGATATTGCTCTATGAAAGTAGGCGGATAGACGATGTAGTAGTGGTAGTTGACATTACCGAGAAAGTTCTGGACAAGTGTGTCTGATATCGCAGTTGGCTAGATGTTCTCAGTTGCTTTGCTAACAGTACATACCGGTGTAAGGCCTAGAGGGAACGGCTTTCAGAGCTCTTTCAAGCTGTGGAAAACTTCTAGGATCCTTCACGAATTCTTGTGACGTAGTCCTGGTGGTCTGGAAGCAAGTACAATGTTAGGATTGGGCTAAACAATTGAGGAAATGTTACGAACCTTGTGTTCCGACGTCAGATCAAAAAGAAGATGAGAAGGCATATAACCCAAAGTGTCAATAGCATCGCTTCTTGTGCCTTCAATATCGGTTTCGACTAAGTCCGGGCTGGTTTTGTTGTTGATACGGTTCTTTCTCAGTCTATCCAAGGCAGCCTTGTCCGCAGTTGGCTGGTTGGTGTCCTTGAAACGACATTTGTCGGCCACCTTGCGTTTCTGGCATCCGCTGCACGGCCACTCACGGTTGCACTGGGTATATGTTTAGCGTTTTCAGCATGAATACATCGCAACTTGCCAGATGTTCTGGAAATGGCCAAGTTCGGGGTTTGTTACCTTTTGCTTGCGGCGTGCACACTCTGTGCATGCAGATCGATAGCTGACTTCTCTTCGTTGAGCCCTTTCTCCCATGACGCTGGACTGTGGAGCTGTCAAACTAAGGATCGATGTTCTTCATGGATCTGAGTTTGTCGAATGAGAGCAGATGTAGAAGTACAGGATATGTATGGTATTATTGTTACCTTTCGGTCTGAACGCAGAGTGCTTCGTGAAACGAACCAATATGACAGCAGCGCACTACAACCCGAAACAAGGTGAATAGAAATGACCATAAGACCGGCAATAGAAAAGGCGAACAATCATGTTGATGGGCTCCGAGTGGGGAAAATACTGCTTGAACGTTGTTGCTAATAAAGATGCATTTGCCCGCCTGCAGATCAATCAAGTGGGTGGGTGGCTAGGTGGCACACAAGAAGAGAAGAGCTACATCGCTTTGGGGGTCCGTTCCATTGCTAATTTCGTGCCGAGGGTCTTGCCAGTTGTCGGCGGTTATTCGAAGCGATGGGTCCTAACGGGACCAGCGGAGATAAGCGAGGCGATCAAGTGAGACTGTCAGATGGGATATGCTTAGTGATTGTGATGCCCCATTCCAACATGCATCTCCTAGATTCCTTGTGGCTCAATCGCCTGATAAGTAGTGGTTATCGCCATCATGAAACCATAGTTCGTAGGGCCATTTGGTACTTCTCATTGGTCAGTGTTGCTTCGTTGCAATTCAACTTCTTGACTTGACTAAAAGAAGCAAATATTGCGTTGTTGAGCACCGACTGGACATGGCAATCTCAACTCACTGTGTGTCTTGTCGAGAGATCATCAATTGTGGACATGTCGTCCTCCACTGGTATCAGCAGATTATCCTGTGTCAAGGATCAAAAGCAAAGCCCCAAGAGCCCTTGCCTCACCCACACCAACCATTCATGCATCATCCATCGTTTTCAGCTCCATTCTGTTGTATGATCTTGTTGCACAAATCCACTGTTGTCTCTCCATTTGACTTCTTCAAATCCCGTACCGAACCCCTCTCCTAGTTTCGTTGACGCTGTCCCCGCTACGCAGACCGGCGTCGCCCGGTCTGAGCGTTCCAGTCACCAACCGCAATGCCTGTTTTCCTATTGAGCCGCTCCCGATCATGGCAAATGAGCTTTCTTGACAGGGTACGTGTGTACAATCCTTGTCTGCTTGGGCAGGCTTGGGCCTCACGAAATTCTGTTTCGTTTTGTCGTTGTTGCTCACCCATATGTACGTCGGTGCTGGTGCAGCTTGAGCGGGCGGTGAATGCTACCCACCCATGTGGTGAAAGGGACACCTGGCCGGTCGCCGATTAAAAGTGAAACTCAGGCTGAGAGAACCCGAGATATGTGTACCATACAAGCAGCAGTGACAGTCAGAACATGCTCAGACTGGCGTATCTGGAGATATTAGTTGCATATTTTTATGTTGACTTCTTCATAACATACTTACTTGAACCAAAGGGTTCTTTCGATCCTCCAACCCATTATGCACGTCACTGACTATCCTCCGATCCCACGAGATGGGTTCAACGGTGTTCTCCACCATTAGTCCATGTCGTCAAATTTGACAACCTTGAAGCCCAACGCTCGAACGTCATGGTGGTGGAGAGTTTCTTGTATGCAACAAGGGTACTGTTAGGGTTTGAAACTCGAGCTAAATCCACAACGGCGCGCCGTTACAAGTGAACTGATCTAAAGTTGCACTATCGCATGTGGCGCGTGAGGAGATGCGAGGCGGTGAGGTAAACGCATGGCGGTGGTTGCTTTTGGCCTCGAACAAACGATTGCCCCAAGCTTTCACCACGAGTTTTTCATGCTTCGTCCGAACTTGCCGGAACGTTTACATGCGTCGAAAGCAGATCCTGCGCCTCAGACTCGCATAATATGGCGTAAAATCGAACGACATCCGAAAGAAGAAGTCACATCCGCCGTGTGTAAGGGCTCGTTACTTCGTCTGCCGATGACTCTGTGTAATGGCGGATCCGTGAACGAGCTACTGTACTGTAATCGCTTCGGAGACTAGTCCCGACCCCCCGGAAAGTTCGTGGAATATGTGTTCAAGGTCAAACCCTACTGTGCAAAACAGGGGCGAGATCTATGGGCTCATTTCCTAGATGCAGCTCACTGGGTTACTGCATGCCTAGTCAGCGCCATTGTCTCGAGATGTCGTATTTGAGGTCCAGTGGGAAAACAGAGGACTCTGTCTCTAGTTGCAAGCATGGAGTTTGGGCATGAAAGTTAAAGCAAGGACGCGCGGAGGTTTCCATTTTGGCATTCGGCATAACTCACTCGCATGCAGATGGCCGCTTTCTGAAAAGGCAGTGGATAGCTCGGATTGCGAGTGCCTTCTTGGTAGAGATTGCGTTGATATCATCGTATATTTGTTGAGCGAGGAAGAGTGAGAAGCCAACAGGATCAAAACGGCGGAAACACGGGTATAAGTGGTTGGGAGACAACCTGAGGTATCTCAGGCAAGTTGAATCTTCCTATATTAGGCACGAATTGATGCTGAGCTAACAACTTCGAGGCAGGTGTAAGGCCAAGACAGAAGAAGGTGCAACTCCCTGAATAAGATAGGTGGAAGAACTTAGAGAAGAACTATGGATCAGAGTAACAAGAGAAGGAGCGGATTCGTTACAGTATAAGAACTTCAAGTCTGATGATAAACACCGCCATATTCGCATATATCGTAACCCTCAATCCTTTGAAGAGTTCCTGAAATGCCAGCCAATGCACCCGAAAGAACCCCTCGATTCCCGAGATTTATCGGGTCAGGTCATAAGCGGGGCAGAAGAGCAAACTTATGCAAGTTGGCGCATATCTAGGCTCTCATATGAACGCACGACGAGTTGGTAGAACCAAAGCATGGCTTTCAGCTTGTGTAGGTAGGCTCAAGTTCACCACCAATTGATGCTGGACGATGCTGAGGTTGTCATGCAAAATCAGTCATCTCAACTTTTACGAGCAGGGTGATTATTGGCAGCTTCCGATTTGCTTCAATTCTGTTCTTCAGAGGACTTGATAAACTTGGTCTAGAATCTGCCAAAATGGCCTGACTTCAGCTAGTGCCCGTGTCCTTGTGTAACCATTGGTACTGTTCCATTTACCAAGAGCAACGACTTGTGCATGGGCGTCAACCTGTCCTCCTGGCCTTGGGGCCACGAGGTTCTTTATGACATGCCACCTATCATGCTCTCGAAACAATCCTAAAGTGGGAACGAGGTTACATCAGGCCAATATCTGGGGCCGAGAGCTGACATGTCAGAGAGTTGGCTAATCTGGTCAAAGGGCTGCTAGGGGCTGCAATCAATTCAAAATTGTCATTGCAAATTGCTCTTCTCTGGCATCCGTGCCTCACCGATTTAGTGTTACTTCACTTCTTTCCGCCTACGAACGTTTAAGGGTTTTTGTGAACTAATAGATACCCAGTCGATGCTGACCAACATTGTCAGTAAGTCTCAGCTCAGCCAAGTCGTCATTATTTCTTCAATGCCGAGCTAGCCACATGGCAATTGCTTTCAAGTGCCGGTGCAAAACCCCACCCTCGAGGTGTTCAACGGTCGCTAGCGAGTGGTAGCAGATGGCCGCAGCCACCACCATCGCCGATCTGTTGGCTCCCAGTACTGTTGCGGACTAGTCTCAAGCATTGTTGCGGCCTAGATCCCTACGGACCCTCCAAACTCTTGAACCAACTGGGCGCCTCTGGCTCCCTTTCAGCACCTCCACCCACGGAACTTCTGTCAAATCGCTAACTCTGTCGACGTCTTCTGGTTCGGCCTCTGACCTATCATCGTCTGTATCCTCATCCGTAACTTCAAGTATTGTATCGTTCCCCTCATCAGCCCCAGCTCTTGCATAGAGATCTTCGGTATAGGCCCAACTTGGGGTATCGAACTTGCCGTGAAGCAGGACAATGTCTCTGCCCTGGGATTTGATACGTTTGAACTCTTCCGCTGGAGTTGGTGTGACAAGCTGCAGGGTATGTGATTTCGTGTCGATACCTCGCAGGAGAACCAACCCAATGGTTCGAGAATATCGGGGGTCCAAAGCAGCGTCATTATAGTTAGGGATGAAAGGAATGCCTTCCGGACTTGTCGATACAATCTGGAGAACCTTGTCTTTACTTACTGCGTCAAGCTTCGTAAGGTTCGATGTTGTATCAGCAGAGGCCTGGTCTTGGGCGAATCCGGAAAATGCTTTCACATCCTCTATCTCAACTGCCGCCAGAACCAGTCCGTTCACTGTATCGGCCAACAACTCCGGAGGACATTGATAGTCATAGGATAACAAGCCGAAGATCCCCCTTTTGGAGGAATACCGTACAAGTAAGGGTGATCTGAAAGAAAGTGGTGATGGGCTCCATTTCAACCTTGGAGTAATATCAGTTTGCTCCGAGGTCGCCAAAGCTAGTTCTTGTAAGTGAAAGTAGGACATGGTCTGCATCGCTCTCAGATGAGCAGCGGTTCTTGATGTAAATTCGGACTGCTGGGATGGTAGTTCTGTAAACGTGGTTTCTGTTGCAGCCCGCAACGCATCTACTGTCTCGGAGGGGCCATCTTCAGACATATATAAGACTTCTTCGGGCTTCATCTTCCTGACCAGGGCAGAGAGAAGATCGAGTCCAGTCCCAAGAATCCACCCTGGTGTATTGATAATGAGAGGAATCCCCGCAAAAATTTTGGTGTATGTGTCAAATAGATCGGCCGCACATGCAAGGTAGAGATCAGGGTCCGATGCTGGAGTTACGGAGGCCATTGAATGGCAACGAACGACGTTCGAGGCAGGGTCTCTGATGCCCGGATGTGTGAATGATGTACCTAGATTCGGCTTCGTCACAAAAACGAGAGATAAAGTCCCCGCTGGTGCATATTCCGGTTGGCCTGGATCTAGGTCCATGACTACAACACCACGGGAGGTCTGACTATGAGATCGACCTGTCAAAAGCATGTTCAGAAACAATCGCGAAAAAGTAGACTTTCCAGTCGATTTTGGGCCGCATATCAACGTTGATAGATACGGTTTCTCTCGACTGGTCGTCACAAGGGATGAAAGCTTCTTATT